TATTTTGTAAGATCATGAGTGCACAAAAAACAGTACTCTTTTTTTTCTTCTTCTTCTTTTTCCTTACTTCCCCCTTATTTTCTTTCTTTCTTTAGCTTTTCCTGCTTCTCTCTAGTTATTAACAAAATATTTGACTTCAATACTGATACCTAATTGTCATTATTATTGTTGTTGTTATTGTTAATATTATTATAGTTAATATTATTATTCTTTGTATTATTCTTGGTATCATTATTATTATTACTGTTGTTATTGCATTTTTTATTATAGTCATTGTTGTTATTATTATTAATATTATTATTAATAATATTATTTAATTTTGACTGAGTAGAGTGTAATAATATCATTAAAAAAAAAATTAAGGTTGGCCAATGTGTAAGTCAGAATCATGCATAGCTTAGGATTAGTGAAATTCTCATAATATTGTCAGAAGTTTAATTTCCTAAGAATTATTTTAAAGAATAATAGATAAAAACTAATTAATGTTGATACAAAAAATGTTATTGGTATTATCATTATTTATATTATTATTATTGTTATAATTAGTGCTTTTATTATTATTATCACAATCATCATCATGTCATTTTCAATCAAGATTAGATTCTCTTTCTCTCTCTCTCTCTCTCTCTCTCTCTCTCTCTCTCTCTCTCTCTCTCTCTCTCTTTGTGTATAGTTATGACATATTTTAAGATTCAATGTTGATCATTGCACATGTGACAAAATTAAAAATTCAATGTTGATGCTTTTATATGGTACAAAATCCTTTTGAGAAATGAGTAAATTACACAGGATGTAGAATATGATACTGGATTGGGGGTATTAGATATAATTATTATATGTCTTTTTCCATTTGTCTGTTGGTTTGTTAACAAAGCCTCTTTTGCTTATTAAGTATGCTTTGTGTATGTGTGTGTGTTTGTGTATGTTTGTTGTTGTGTGTACCCATAGTCTTTATCAGTCTGTGGATATCAGTACACATGCACACATACACATTCGCACAAGTACATACCGCTCTTTCTCTGCTAACTGTTATGCTGCTTTGCTAACAATCCTTCCAATGGCTGGCACCCTCATGGATCACCACCGCACCCCAGCGTTGTAATAGTGTCAAGCAGAAACACAGAGGTGCGGGACATGGATGAAGGCGTCAACCTGTATGTCCTGGCAGGCCACGAGAATAGTTACTGAGGCATTCCCCCCCCCTGTCTCTCTCTGGCAATGCCCTCCTCTCTTCTCCCCCCCTCTCAGAGATCAGGTAGAGGGCATTCCACTGGGTATTTTTATATCTTGGTATTCACATTTAAACCACTGTGTTTTGAGAGAAATTGAAAAATTGCAATATCAGCATTTATTTATTTATTTCATTATGGTTATTAAATTTTGTTTTTTGTTAAACCTCCTAGGCATGGTTTCTTTTTTTTTTATCAATATAGTTTATTCATTTTGTGGTTCCCTCTCAGTTCATTTATTCGCATGGAGTAAGAGTTCATCTGTTACAGTTACGAATACTACTAGTTTAGCTGTTAAAAGTGATATTATAGATGATTATAGAGATTTTGTCATTCCTTTAACCCATTGTATGTGGGCAGATGTACTGTCTATTGTAGTTTTTTTCATAAATTTTGTTGCTGCACACAGATCTCTCCACAAGTGCTCAGCTGCCCACAAGTCAGTCAATAGTAGGCCTGACATTACCTAACCTGATTTCCCCATTTCTTAATTATTTTTCTTTCTCTCTTTCTTTCTTTCTTTCTTTTTTCCAATGCTGGTAATATTGATATTGATATTATGATTATTATAATGTTATATGAATACAGATAGCAATAAAAAATAAAGAAGAATCTTTCTGAAAATCAAGGAAAAGGGTAAAAAGGTATGATAAGTAGGACTAGTAATTGACTTTTTGATGACTAAGTACTTGTGGAGCCATCTCATAAACACAGTTAAGCTAGAGTTACAGTGGACATGGCTTGTATGCCATACCATCCCAGGCACAGAGGGTTAAAGTATCGTGACCATCAATTATGTATTTACATTCTTGCGTAAGTATTTTCATGACCGAGAAAGAATAAAAACAAGGTAAAACCAAGAATATCAAGAGATTAATTTAGATGTTTAACTTCCCAATGGTAGAGCCTGCATGGTGAGCCAGATTTTAATCCCAGGATGCATGACTTTTTTTTCTATTTCTTTTCTTTCTTTTATATATGGCTATACAGCTCTTTTTCTTTCTGGTTGCCCTACCTTTCTCTTGGTTTAATAGCTTCTGGTAATAAGCCTAGCACAACTATAGGATTTGTAATTATTTTTCCCCCAATATGTTTGTAATATATGTAGATATATATGTGTAATCTCTTTAATCCACATGTTGAAATAAATTGTGATTATGTGATGAAAGTTATGCTCATGTTATGAAATATCTTAGGTACTTGCTCAATCCCTTTTTTTTCTTCTTCTTCTTTCTTTCTTAATTAGTGCTAATGGCTATGTAACATTTCAGAATTATCACACTGGAGAGCCGACCATCATCAATGTTGGAGCCAAGTAGTGCAGCCTCAGGGGAGAACCAGGGCGTCAATTTGTACATTCTTGCTGGACATGAATCTAGCATGTACTGAGCTGTCCGCTGATGGCTGCTGCAACAGTGAGAGCAAGATACAACGAGAAGAGCAAGGGGTGCAAATGGCTTGAGTGAGCGTGGCTTAGTGTTTGAGGAAATAAGAATGTGCTGGGACTAGTGTTTAGGGTACCAGAGAGGGACACCCTGCAATCTCTTTAGAGTCCAGATCTTGGTGTGGAGATGCGTGTGTGATATACGAAGGTACCAGGTACTATTTTCCTTAAAAAGACGAAAGAAGAGAGTTGTCTTAAAGGGAAAAAAAAAAACAGTGAGAGAATTCAATGGTTTAGACAATAGATGAGTGCTTTTAATTGGTTTAAGTCTGCCCGGATACCTGAACTTTTGTGTATTTTAATTGAATTTTGCCTCGATTATGACTTCCTGGATTGCTCAGAGTGAGAAACGGAAATTCCTTTTTGACAGGATTTATAGCTACCAAAGAGGTGAGTGACTTCTAAAAAACGGAAGAAAAATATATATGTACCAATAAATACAAAAAGGTTCTATATTATAGCTAAAAGCTTATCATTCACAACCAGCACACACATTATGGAAGTTTGATTTGCAAATTATAGAAAAAATTATTGTTGTTAGAACCGAAATATTTTAAAGAATAATAAAATGAAATGGAGAAAAAAATCATAGGTTTAAACAGCCATTTTGCTGATGAAATTGATAGGAAGCATACAGATTCTGTATTATCTGTGTTAAAGGAAAGTGATAGTTAAAACCCTGCTTTAATTCAGAAACTATACTACTTTTGAAATGTTGAATCTCCTAAATACAAGGATGAGGGAATCACTAATCCCAAACAGACTTGCAGTATTTGCCATAATGATAAGGAACTCCAGTGAACTTTCAGTGAAAATTTTAATCATATTTTGTTTAGTATTCATATATTTGGAGCTTTGTTTTAAGACATTTATTGGTTAGACTGCACCCTTGTGCAAACTATACAGATTGTTCTAAGGTTGTCCACAATTGGCTGTACTACAATGCACCAGGCAGGAAAAAAGGTTTAATTTCATGCAAGGAATACTCCATGTTTTGGTGATTGCAGCAGATATGATATTTATGGTGAAATCTAGCCCTCAAAAGGCCTAAAAATTGTGGCTTTAGTCCATAACTGAAATACTGATGATATTTTAAGGACTAAATTCCAGTCTTCTTAGTGGCTCAGGACAGTTTTTATGAATGTGTGTATAAAGAGAGAATTTTTACGATAGCTGTATTAGTCCATTCTTTGCAGTGCATGACAGGACAGTGTGAAATCTTTGCCCAGTCAGTGATTAGCTCTGTCCTCTTCAGTTCATGCCAATAAGTTCTTCATACTGTTTTAAGGGAAACTCAATCAGCATAGGGCTGTATGCTCAGTACTAGAATGTAACCTTGTTTGTTGTATGTACATCCAGGTGAGAACCTCATGTCCAGATTGTAGTATGTCCAAGGTGTACCCAGCAGTGTTGCAGTGTAACAGTATTTCAATAGTACCAGTATGCTGTAGATCTAATTTTAATGGCTGTAAATGTTTAACAAAGACATTTACATGCGAATTGTTAGACAGAAAGAACTTACGAAGGCAAAGCTGTTTTATGATTTTTTTGAAAAATTAAATCCTATGGAGTGAGTAAATTTCTATAAGCTGATCTTGATAGGGTGTATGATAAGTTTTAGCTGGCCTGGTGTCTGTCCAAAGCATCATATTTCCTGGCTCGCAAGATGTGAACATCAAGCATTCATCATTCTCCCAAAGGAAACAGAGAGTAGCTCTTTCACTTATTTAACTATGCATTGATAAGTAATAATCAGTATTTTATGGGATGACAATTCCTTTGTTTGAGTGATATATATTTAAAGAGGTGTGCTGCTGTCTCTCTCTCTGCAAAGCCTAGCTTTTTTTAATTTCTTTAGTATGTATAGATATTTTAACAGCAGGAAAACAGTGCAAAACAATGATATAGTGAGTGCATGGGTCTGAGATTGAGAACTTTGAAATCACTGAATGTCTTGTTATTTTGCAAAAAATAAGTAAACAAATATTGGAAATACTCCAGATCAAAGCATTTGTCTCCAAGACAAAAACTGTAGCATTGCAAGTTGTGAAACTCTAGAATGGGCTGAAAGTATTGATGAGTCAGGCAGCCATATGAAATGTATATTTTGTGGCCTTTGTACTTGGTTTTGATCAGAGGAATTTCATGTATTAAATGTTGTTCAAGTAAATTAAATGTGACATACATTTTCTAAAAGGTTCAGGGTGCACCTTATTTTTTACTGGATACAAGGAAATTCCAGGATGACCGAGGAAGAGAACTGCTGTTAAAGTGCACGAAGACTGGTTTATTCTGTGGTGCTTTTGGAGGTTAAACAAGAAAATGAGAGTGAAAAAGCAAGGAAGATAGAGATTGGTGTCTGTTTTTAAATGAAACATTTATTGACAACACAAAAGGCGACATCTGGCATAGGGGAGATGAAAATAATGAAGGTAAACTGTTTTAAAACGGGTTGGTAAAATAGCACTTTAGATTTGAAAAGATCATAGTAGTACTTGGCTCTTGACAGTAAGAAAGGAGAATTAGCATTTTTTGTATGCCCAAGTTTGTGTGTGTGTGCGTGTCTGTCTGTAAGTATTGTATACTTACAAGAGTGTTTGTTGCTCTGTTTCATTTGGGTTTAATTTTTTTTGGCTGTTGTGTACATGTGAAGGTTAGAGAGTGAGTGACTGGAGGAATGTTTCACAGCTCAAGCTTTACAAAATAGTTATAAGTGTGATGTCTGATTTTTTGTTTTAGGGAATAGTGTAGGATTGTCTTGTGTGCACTTATTTTTTCCTTGTTCTTTTTGTCACTTTTTTTCCTTACATTGTGAAACTCGTTATACGAAGAAATAGCAGAGATTACTTCTAGTGAGAGGTAAAAGAAAGGAAAGAAACCATTCCCTCTAGTTTGTAAGATCTTCACAACTCTAAGCTTATGAACTTTCTTCCATTTATGCAGGATTTGATTCTAGCTTCTATTAACAGCATTGAATATAATTTGGTCAGATTCCATTTATCTGTATATCATACTTTAATCCTTGACGGTGTTGGGAGCAGACCATTATATATATCAAGGGTAAATGTGGAGTTCATGCTCTGGGTATCTGATATAGAAGAAAACGTAGGTCAGTCGTATCTGCTGTTGACCCACAGTGATGTGCGTACTGTTGTTTGAAATAACAAAGAATTTTCTAACGGGTTATATGCTATGTATAATTTTGTATTACTTGATATTACTATGTTACCGACATTTTTTGTGATTTAAATTCTTGTCATATATATATATATATGTGTATTACCTGCATGCCCTTGTCTGATTGTGTTGTACTCCATATCCATCATAGAAGTTTAGCTTTTCATTACAGTTTAAGCATTGAAGTTCAGTAGATTTTTTTATATTTTTTTCTTTCTTTCTTTTTTTTTTCCCCCCCTTGAGATTTTTTTGTTTTTTTCCATTGATATATATCATTTATACTGGAGTGAAGTCATGTGTACTTAATTGATTGCTCATGCTATCCACCTTGGTTTGATATTGGTGCTTGTGGTGTGGTGTTGGCTAGGCTGAAGTCTTGGCTCGGTGACAGACATTGTAAAGAGGAAACTACAAGACGTAACTCTTACCTGATACACTGTAGAAAGGAAATTATGATAGACTCTGTCCCAGATGCAATATTCCTAGCAATTGTTACTGTAAAACATTTTGTTGATTTGATTACATTGAGGGAGTGCTTGGTAATGGTCTAACAATTAAGATTGGTACCTTCATAGTAGGACCACACAAATCAAAACAAAGTGTAGTGGCTTACTCATTCCAAATTGTTTGTGTGTATACATCACAGCAAATTATATGGAAAAACTGAAATAGTGAATTGGAAATATGTGGTACTTATTTGATGTTAGAACTAGATAATCAAAATCTTAGAAGTCTTACGCATGACTTGAAAGGTTAGATTAAGATATGAAGGGAAAACTTTACCACAGTGGTAATAAAACTTTAGTTCTGATGTAGTGCCTTGAATGTACAGTTTAAAAGGTTTTGTTATAGTATTGTTTTTTATTTATTTATTATTATTTTTTTTTTATTATTATTTCCCCCATACCCAAACCCCCACCCCACCCCAAAGAGAGGAGATATCATTTATCAAGCTTTTCATATATAGTTACAAAAATCTGGTACATAAGGTTATGAATACAGTAGCTTGTCCATGGGGCTGTCAAAGATTACAATATGCATATCCAAGAAAAAAAAAAAAAGAAAAAAAAAAGCCCAGCAAAATGTATTCATTGCATCAGCGACCGCATGATTTAACAGTTGTGATATGTATTTAGAAAGATTTTTAGCTTCTTGTAGGTAGCATTCACACAAAGAATTGCTGTATCAAAATGGGTACATGAGACTGGAAGTGACTTCTCATGCAGCAATGTACTCACCAGAAAATCTTCCCCATAGTACTGTTCCCTTTTGCATGAAAACAGTGGCAAGGCATTTATTGTGGGCTTACCCAAACACACAATGATGTGTTCCTAGATTAGGATTATTGTCATTTTCCTGTCTGGAAATAGGTTCAGAAACCAATGAAAGTAAAATTGGTTCTTGTATATATATATATTTATAAACAACTTATGTAAATTGATAAATTTTTTGTACATAGAGACTAGGTGAAGACAGGAGTGGATGCAGCACCTGAGCTGACTGCTTCTTCACTCTCCCAAGCTTTAAAGTGGACCCCTCATGCTTACCAGAGGCTACCAACCTCTCCCATTATATCTATCTAGCTTCTAGCTCCACACAGCTACCCCACCTCATATCCAATGTTCGTTTCTATTCTTTACGTAGTCACATATTCAAAGCGAGTAAAGTTGTTTGAGTCTGTGAAGAGTACTGGATATGGATGTCCATCTTGTAGAAGCACACAAGTGTTAATGGATCTAAGGGTGCCAGACTGTGTGCATGTGAAGGCAGTAACATCATTGCAGTTTAACCAAAGAAAGCATACCATTGCATTCCATGTCACATGCAGTTTGGCATCATATTGTATTTATTGTAAGTATAATTTCCATACAACTGCCATCATAAAAACCAAACAGTTTCATCAGTGGTGCAGAGGGCTTTATCTATTTGCAAAATTTTTACAGAAATAAAATGAAGGTTAACCTGTTTCCTGTGTTTATTATTACTGTGTTGTGTTTGCACTTGAAACTATATATATAGAAAAAAAAAGTAAAGTTGGGTATTTCACAACAGGAGGTGGTTTATTTGTACAGTTTATTGCCAGTGAGGTTGTATATTATGAAGCAAGATTGAAACAAGTATCATATAAGTAAATATAGAATAAAATTGGTGTGATGAAAAAACCTTAATGTTTTTAATGATTACTTCAAGAAATGTTTATTTCTTTGGAAATCCTCAATTTTATATATATATATATAAAAGTCTTTTACAGTTTTGATATTATATATGTAAGAAATCAACTTGTATATAAAAAGTGATACAAATCTTCAGACTTCTCATAATCATCAGTACATTGTTAAAAAAAAAAAAAAAAAATGGTCATGCAAAGTTGGGAATGGAAACTTTAGATAATTAAACACTTCTTTTGGGCAATTTTTCATCTCAATGAGGGTTACAGTATTGCATTTTTAAAGGGTTAAATATTTCCTGTTAACTTTCCTACTTTTTCTTCTTAATTCCTTTCTCCTCCATTTTTGTACCTATATCAGTCCAAACAAACAATGTGTTTTTTCCAACTGTTATATAATTGGTTATAAAGAAGTGCTAGTGTTTATAAAAAGTGAACAGATCTGGGTAGTGGTTTAAAATTTGAATTTCATGGTAGTCAGACAAGATATTGTATCAGTTGTTATTCAGGGCAATGAAGTTGCTGTTGATTCTCCATTCTATCTCAAGTGTTTATTTAGAAAAATCTCTTCCGCAAGTGAATATCACTGTATTATCAATGACGATTATTTGTTAATCTAGCTGGCTAGGATTTAGGATAGTAAATGGGGTTAACCTCTGAAGGAATAGTTGATTTTTTTTATTGTTTTTAATATCCTGATGAATTGTGTAGGTTCTGTCAGCCTTTCAACATAAACATTGTGATATTTGATGAAGATAGTAAGGAACTTCAGTCATATTAATTGGTATATTGTTCTGTAATGGGGTCATGTAACTTTTGTATACATTTATTGTAACTCTCAAGAAGTATTGGAAAATTGTCATTACTCTTGATAGTAAAATAGACTTGATTAACTTCATATTACCATATTTTTATTCAGAAGGCTATGGTGATAGTCAGTCAATTCAAGTAAAATTAGAAAATGAATTGCCACAGAAGGATGATTCACAACATCAAATGTAAATGAAAATCCAGACAATAGGCAAAAAAAAAAAAAAAATGGTCATGCAAAGTTGGGAATGGAAACTTTAGATAATTAAACACTTCTTTTGGGCAATTTTTCATCTCAATGAGGGTTACAGTATTGCATTTTTAAAGGGTTAAATATTTCCTGTTAACTTTCCTACTTTTTCTTCTTAATTCCTTTCTCCTTCATTTTTGTGCCTATATCAGTCCAAACAAACAATGTGTGTTTTTTCCAACTGTTATATAATTGGTTATAAAGAAGTGCTAGTATTTATAAAAAGTGAACAGATCTGGGTAGTGGTTTAAAATTTGAATTTCATGGTAGTCAGACAAGATATTGTATCAGTTGTTATTCAGGGCAATGAAGTTGCTGTTGATTCTCCATTCTATCTCAAGTGTTTATTTAGAAAAATCTCTTCCGCAAGTGAATATCACTGTATTATCAATGACGATTATTTGTTAATCTAGCTGGCTAGGATTTAGGATAGTAAATGGGGTTAACCTCTGAAGGAATAGTTGATTTTTTTTATTGTTTTTAATATCCTGATGAATTGTGTAGGTTCTGTCAGCCTTTCAACATAAACATTGTGATATTTGATGAAGATAGTAAGGAACTTCAGTCATATTAATTGGTATATTGTTCTGTAATGGGGTCATGTAACTTTTGTATACATTTATTGTAACTCTCAAGAAGTATTGGAAAATTGTCATTACTCTTGATAGTAAAATAGACTTGATTAACTTCATATTACCATATTTTTATTCAGAAGGCTATGGTGATAGTCAGTCAATTCAAGTAAAATTAGAAAATGAATTGCCACAGAAGGATGATTCACAACATCAAATGTAAATGAAAATCCAGACAATAGGCAAAACAGAAATAACAAATGGTATTTTTTGAGTTATCGTAATCATAAAGAGTGTCTATAAGTGCTTGTCTGGATTGAGTGCTGATGGTAAAGGTTGACATTGTGATTAAATGTGTAGTTTTGAAAACTGTGCTTTGTTATTTTTTCCAGAGAATTTTTTTTTTTTTATGCATAATGTTCATTTCCTAGTTGAGTGAGTACCACATTAGCTTGTCAATTATTTAAAGAAATTATTATCAGGGGTGTTACTTTTGCTTTTTAGTTTGATATTTCATGCTATTAACCAAAGCATACCGCACAAAGTGTTGCTAATTACTCAGCAGTTTTAATAGTAACATTTTCCTTTTCTTTTTTTGTGTATGAGAAAAAGTAAAAAGAAAAGTTGGCTGTGTTAAAATACTATATAAGGGGAATAGATTAATCAAAACCGCAATTTATATTCCACCAGTTTTTTTGTTTTTTTTTAGTTCGACAAGGGAATATATGGCCATTATATGTTAGACTACGGAGACTGCACGTATCTTTGCCAGCTGCACCCACAAAGTGCATCTGGAGGCTACGGCATGTCACAGTAATCTGGAGTTGTGTGGGCTGGAGGTTCTTCATTAGCTCTTGTTTTACCCAGTGTACTGTATATACCCTCTTCCATACATTATACAGTATACCTTATTCTTAATGATGAAGCACAATAAAGTATATTGTATTTATTTTAAGTATACCTTTTAATACCCTATGTACTTATTTTGCATTTATTGTATGTGGATTACAAATTTCTCAAAGAACTGTTTGTGTGAGGGTAGCATAGCACTACCCTGTAAATTCTTGATTATATTAGTCAATCATAAAATTGAAACATTTGCAGAAAAAAGACAAAAAACAAGTTCTGTGCAAGCAAATAAATAGCTTTCATTTTTCAATTTTGATAGAAGAAAAGAATAATATACATAATACAGTACTTACCCTTTCAAGTGCTACAATTGAGATTGTGATATATGATTTCAATATTCAACAACAAAATAAACAGTAATCCCCCTCAATACTTTCCTGTTGTTGTGCAGGAGCTTAGGAGGCGAGAACTGGGACCCAATGCTAGGGATCTTCCCTGCCATGGGGCCCCCTCAATCCCTTGCCCGTTGTTGTCATGGGGGTCTTTGGAGGCAAAGACTGGGTCCCAATGCTGGGGAACTCCCCTGCCTTGGGACTCAGCCCTCAGCTCAACTTATTTTGCTTGGCCTTTTTTCCCCTCCAGCTTTTTCATTTCTGTGTCTTCCCCAACCCTTTCTACAATCCACTTCCTAAGCTGTGAGTGTGCTGAGAGGATGAAAAGTTGACTTTGTGCCAATCCTGAATGGCCTGAGGGAGCCATGGGCCCAACCTGGTCATACTCGATCCTACTTGACCTTTGTCCCATAAAACTTCCCAACCAACTCCTTTACAGAAACTCTTAAAGATATTCAAAACTACCCACTCGAGTCCCAAACTGACAGCGAAACCCCTCATCCACCCTCAAATTCCACAACTCCCGCTCCCTCCACACTTAAAGTGACTGCCAATATCCATCCTCCATTCTCCAACACGCACTGTAGATCATAGATCAACTGAAGTATAGCTCTCCAACATTGGAATATTCGCAGTTTCCGTTCTCATAGACCTGACCTTCGTCGTATCCTTTTTTCTTACAACCCATTATCTGCCTCCAAGAGACTTTTCTTACACATCCTCATATACCATTCCCCAATTACTATTTTGTCTTCTTCACACTCCCTTTATGTCTCGTCTATACTTACCTTGAGTCATACCTCCCTTTCAAACTACTGCCCCGTGCACAGTTATTCGCATATTTTTTCGCCGTTTTCACAGTTATTTCAGTCTACTTCTCCCTTTCCCACCCCGTTAATATTGTTACCTTTGAAAATCTAATTTCCAATTCCAGCCCCCTTTCCTCATAGTTGGTGATTTTAACTGCCGCCACACTCTTTGGGGGGATTTTATCACCAACTCCCGAGGCCGATCCCTAGAACGCTTCCTCTCCAC